AATACTTGGAATATTTTGATGAAGTATTTTATTGTATAATGAAAAATCATATCCTTATTAGTTTATCAATAATTCTCATTTATCTGTAATGATTAATGCTACTATGCACATTTGTGTGTAAGAATTTGTGTGATGATGCATTCATTTTTTTATCCTCCTGGAAATATGTGCAAGACTAGAGCTTCTTAGTTATTTGGTAAGTCTGTGCTTAATATGTTGAAAAGTATCAGATTTGTACCCAAAGTGCCTCAAACACTGAACATTTCCACTAGCAACAGATTTCCATACTAATTTTTCCACATCCTCACCAAGATCTGTTGTTTCTATCTTTTTAATAGGAGGCATTCTACTGTGGATAAAGTGGCAGTCCATTGTTTTTAATATAATTTCCTTCATGCTTACTGAGTTTGAAAATTTTACATGTTCAATGGTGATATATACACAGAGAAATGTATAATCACATTATTGACTCAATTTGCAACATTTTTTTCTTTTTACCTGAAGTTATAAGAGTTCTTTATAGCATCAAGTCAGATGTATATACAATTTCTCTACCCTTGCCTGTCAGTTGTCATTTTATTTCCTAATAGTGTTTTATGAAGCTTACATTGAAATAAAATTCTTTTCACCAACTTATGATTTCTTTTGTATTGTTGGTATCAGCCATCATATACTAGAAACTATTGTCAAATTCACAGATACAAAAAATTTTGTGTCTATATTGCATTATAATAATTGAACGCTTTAAAGCAATGAATTTAGGCATTTTATTCATTTTTGATAATTTTTTTATATAATTTATAACATTTTTCATTAAAATACTTTACTTTTATCAAAGAATTGTTTAGGCATCTGGTGAAAAGTAGTTGACCATATATGTAAGACTTACTTCCTGAACTCTCAATTCTATTCAAATGATCTGCTCCCTAAGAAATATCTCAGATATTCCATTAGTGGTCTTATTTTCTTAATTGAATTTTGGATTTTCTGTTAGTAATGGAAGAGATAAAATTGACCTTTGTGTTTTGATTTTGCTCCTTTATCCTTGATAAACTTGATTATTACTAATGCACATTTATACTACGCATAAAAGATTACAAGATATATTATTGCTTTATTCAAATAAGATAAAATTATTTATTTCTACTCCAAATGAAGTGGCTTCAGTTTATTTTATGGCTCAGTTGCCTTTATTACACTCCCCAATAGACTTTTGACTGAATATGATGAGAACGGATGTCTTTTTTAATCAGTGAAAGCTCTCTCATTTTTACAAGTAAGTGTGCCATTTGCTAAAATGGCATATTTTATATGTATGTTTTATCAGGTTAAGAGTGTCTATTGTTTTTAGTTAATTCCTTTTATTCTCAATCCTATCTCTATTGAAAGCATTCAATTAGGTAAGTGTGGGGCATAGTATGTATGTGGGTAAGATTATTGCAGTGTGATTTTTATTTTTTCTTGTATTATAGACATTTACAGATAACCAAGTTCTTTGACTTGTCACTGTGTTTTTATTCATTGTATTTTAGTATGCATTATTTTCACTTTTATTTGTAGCATTTTAAAGTCTATATTGATGTTTTCTATGACTCATTGGATGATGGGGTGTGGTTTTAAAAGCCTCTCCATTTTTTGAAATATGATATTGCTGTGAAGCTATCCTTCTTTTTCCTGAGTGCTGGGATTCCAGGCACGTATCACCATGACAGGTGATACATTCCCAAATACTTAGAATTTTCAATTTCTTTCTGTTATTAATACCTTATTTAAATCCATTGTGGTCAAATACATGCTTTTTTATCATTTCAATACTTTGAACTTTGTTGAGTCCTGATTTATATACATTTTTAAAAAGAGTAGTTATATTCCTTTGGGAAAAAAACTGTGTTTTACCGTTGGGGCTGTAATGTTTTTAAATACACAAAAGACTCACTTGATTTATAATGTTAAAATCAGCCATTTAGTTGTTGATCTTTGTATATTTTATATTTACTTCTGGAAACACTGTATTGACATATGAAAGAATTGTGGTTGAATAATTTTTTCTTGTTTCAATTTACTCAGCCTTTAGAAACCATTTTATTCTATTGTATTCTTAAATTAATAGGTTTGTAAGTGCTATCTTTTTATATCAAACTTTTTTCTTTGTGAGACTTCTTGCATTGTATGTTTTTATACCTTTCAAGTTATTTGTTTTCTCAACTCTGAACATTATTTCTTTGAATTGGAAGATGTTTTTATTGTTTCTTTCATCATTGACTTTTAGCTATATTATGTAATTCATTCATATTATGTATAATTACTTATAAGCAAGATTTTATATACCATTTTATGAACTGTTCTCTGTGTTTTCTGTCATTTTTATTTATCTGGTTCCTTATTAATGCCTTCTTTTTCCTTCAATTAATATTTGGTTACTCTAGAGTTCTAATACTTTTGTAATTCATTATTACTTTTACAAACTTTTTTAGAAGTTAGTGTGAAAATTACGTATAGCATCACAATTCACAGTATTTTAGTTGGATTAATGTTACTTTAATGCAATGTATATACAAAAGCTGTGTTATCCCTCCCCCTAATTTATATATTTTTTTATAAATTGCGTCTATTTAAATGATATGCCAATCTGTACACAGTTTTAACTTTTGCTTCTGCCGTTATATTATACATTAAATGGGAGAAAACTAGTAATAAAAAACATAGTTATGTTTCACTTTATATTCTGATGTGTTTACAACTATGGTATTCACTATTCCTTCATGAGGATGTCATTTATCATCTGCATCCTTTTATTTATGATGAAAAGACTCCCTGTACTTCTTGCAGTGCTGTTGACAGTTTTTCTATTATTTTTGTTTTCCTAGAAATATCTTAATTTGTCCTTCATTTTTGATGGACAGTTTCTTTGAATATAGCATTCTTGTTTGGCCATCTTTTGTTTAGTATTTTAAATATGTCATTATGCTGTCTCAGATTTCATGATTACTGAAGATCTTATATGTGCAATTTGTTATTTTCTTTCTGATTTCATGATTCTTTGTTTTCTTTCAACATTTTTATTATAATGAATCTAGATAGAGATACGTTCCAGTTAACTTTTTCAGAATTCACTGAGCTTTATGGATATATAGATTAATGATTCCCATCAAATTTTAATGAAGATATTATTTGTTCATTACTTCTTTTTATCATTTCTTCATCTTTTTCTTCTCTCCTTAGACTCTAAAATCTACAGACCTTTTTATAGATTTACAATATCGTCCTATGGATTGCTGTTGCTTTATTTACTACTTTGTATTCCTCTAATAGCTGATATCAATTTTCTTGTGTTTGAGTTTGTTCATTCTTTCTTCTTACTGCTCAAATCACCTATTGGCCAACACATACAAATTTTACATTTCAGAGATTATAATTTTTAAGTTCAAAATTTTCATTGGTTCATTTTATTTATTTTTGTAGCTATAATTTTATTATGACATTGTTCTGTGTCTCTGTCTCACTCTCTGTGCAAATGTGTGTGCATGTGTGTGTGTGTGTTTGTGTGTACCTGTGTGTGTGTGTGTGTGTGTGTGTGTGTGTGTGTTCATGCGTGTATATGGGGTCATGTTTCACTTGTGAAGGTCAAAGGACAATTTGGGAGAAGAAATTCTATCCTTTTACCATGGATTCTATGGTTCAAACTCAGGTCATCAATCTTTTCAGTGAGCACTTTTACACACTGAGCGATCTCTCACATCTCTTTTTAATACTTCCCCTCTCTTTACTGTTATTCTCTCAATACCAGGTCAGGATCTTTGCCACGCATACAATAGAAATGAGACAGAGACAAGTAGTCAGGAGAACAAGAAAGACTTAATTTGTGTGTCAAGCTCAAGCACCAGGAAGCCAGCTCTTAGTAAAGGGCCAGTTGTTATCTGTACCAAGGAACATGTAAGGTTTTTTTATTTACTACAGTAGGCTGAAATATGTAGTTTTATACAGATTATGTACAATTGCAGAAGATTCTTTCTTGTTCAAGAATTGAAGTGCTGGGATGAAAGACTTGCAGAACCACACCAAGTTTTTAGGTTTTTTGTTTGTTTGTTTGTTTGTTTGTCTTCATGTATTTTGGAGACTAATGTTCTGTCAGATTGTATAGCTAGAAAAAAATTTCCAGTTCTATAGGTCTCCATTAGATTAATGGTGTCTTTTCCTGTACCTCTGTTTACTACAGGGGGAAGGAAAAATCTGTTTTTTTTTTTCCAGAGACATGGCCTCCTGAGGGTGCATGCTAAAGTATATGGTTCAATGTCCATGGATGTGCAAACACTATTATGTAGACTCAAAGTGTCTTAAAAAAGAGTGCATAAAATTGGGAGAACAACATTGTGGTAGTGATGAGGGAGGGGAGTGAATAGGGTTGGATTTGATCAGAACATACTATGTGGATGTACAAAATTCTCAAACAATTAAAAAAATAGAACACTGAATAAAGTAGGCTTTGTTAGAGAATCAGAAGGATCTGAACAGAACCAAAAGCCTGGTCTTTGTCAAGGTAAGAAAAAAAATGATGATTACTTCTTGATTGTCTTTGAACTGGGACTTTAGAGTTTTCATGCTTTAGTATTTGAATTGGACCTCATGCCCCATGGCTTATAGACTAGAAATGCACCATTAGCTCTCTTGAGTCTGCAAACTACCCAAAACCTGAAAGTCTTATAGCTCATCAGTCTCTATAATGATGGAAAGCCAATGACTTATAATAAATTTCTATCACCGTGTTTTCTGCTGAATTCTGACCATGAAGTAAATATACTAAGTAATAATGAAAGAAGGTAAGGATGAATACAGACTTGATAAAAATAGAAAAATTTCAATTTTATTGTAATTTTTGATTCTCAGATAAAGATAAACAAAAACCATAAAGGATATTTTTTTCATTGTTGTCTGTGTTGTTTTGGTGCCTGTCCTGGATCTCACTCTGTAGACAAGGCTGGCCTCAAACTCACAGAGATCCACCTGGCTCTGCCTCCAGAGTGCTGGGATTAAAGGTGTGCACCACCGCTATCCGGCAAAGGTTAAAATTTTTATAATGTAATAATTTATTATAGCATTCTGTGTGTATATTGTTGATTGAAAGCTTTTCACTTATTTCCCTGACTACTATTTTTATTGAGGTTTCCATTATAATACTTTACCAACAATATTTTTGGCTTAACTTTTGAGTTACTTAGAAGTGCACTGGCTATTTAAAAATCTTTAAATAATAGCATCTTATTTGTTATACCATGGTAAGTGATGGCGGTATGCATATTCCATATCAATGGAATTCGTCTTAGGCCATATTCATTATATCCTATTTTCTTACCATCACTAAGATACTGTCTTAAATATGCCGCAGGAAACTTTGTCATGTTGCTAATATTCCATGTGGGGCAAAAAAGGAAAAGAGGGATTATAGCGATGCTTGTCAGGTTAAAGACACCATTTGAAAATTACATACCTTAACTCTTATCATATATCTTCAGTTTAAACTAGGTCCCACAGCCTCACATGGATGTAAGAGTGACTGAGAAACATACTTTCAGGATTCTGTAAGTTCCTATCAGTTGTAATACCATTAAAGGAAATGGGAATTTAGGATTTTGGAATTCTCTATATCTCATTTTATACTGCAGCCACTGTTAGAACAGATGAGTGCCAGAAATTTGTCTCTGTTTTTTTTTTTTTTTTTTAATCTTGAATCAAATTCTAGGAAGAGAACGGCTAATCCCACAGTATGTGATCATCCTTTAACTACAGGTGGGGTTATCATTGGACACTGATTATTTTCCCACAAGATTGTCTCAAATGGAGGACAGGTATGTGATCAAAATGAAACTGTGGGGCTTTCAAGAAGAATCAATGGATGCCAAAAAATCAGAGCCATCAAAATATCCACTGTGAAAACAGAATGTATCTAGAAATAAAGCACTATTTGTTAACCTGCTGCTACTGTTCACCTGGGATCATGTTCTACATTATGAATACAGCAATGGGTGAGGTTTCATCTCTCTCTTCACAAAACTTAGACTCTAATGTGTAAGCTCAGGGTTCAATAAAACAAAGATTTTTTTTAGAAAGAAAATGCACAACCTACCACACGATGTAAAAATTTTAACAATATTATAAAGTATGTAGGGCCAAATAATTCAATTTTTGAGACTATCTTGAAACATAAAGCATTATGGATTTATAAAGTACACACTATATATTTTGTTGCATTAATTATATTTCACGTTTTACTTTGATATAAGATAATGAGAAGGCAAAAGACACTTCAGAGAAATTCTGTCTAGTCTTACTTTTCACCACCAATGTGTTCTACAATCACCTTCCACTGTTTGGGCCTTTTATTAAGTATCTTTCCCACTGAAGTACCAAAATATCTGAAAGAAACAACTCAAGGGAGAAAGGATTTGTTTTACCTCATGGTTCATGGGATATAGTTCATTATAGCATGCAAAGCATTGCTGGGCACTGAGTTGTGCCAGTGGTGGTAGGAGTGGACACCAACTGTTGTGACATGATAATGAAATCCGAGAGTCCTGCCCAGGAGCAGAAATGATCCATAACCCTCAAGCTCTACTCTTCTTAAAAATGCCAGTCAAGTACGACACCCTAAAATTTCTAGAACTTTCCAAAATTTTGTCATAGTCTTGGGCCAAGGATTCAAACATAATATCTTTTGGTTGAAATTTCACATACAAACCATATTCCTTTGCTTTAGAAGGGGGATTTTCATGTTAAGAGTACATCAGTATACCCATATACTTTGGTTGTATTGTGATATTTTTCATTTATCAGTCTGTCTTTGCACAATTTAATTACGTTAATGTGCATTGTCAGACATACAGGAGCTATTATATGCCCTTGTTATTAAGGCACATTAAAGAAATAAAATGTGACTCGATTTTAATTTAATTTTTCATTATTCTTTATATTTTATTATTTGAAACAATTTTTAAATTTAAATATGTTTTGTCTTTTTATTTTTTCCTTATTCTTGAGAATTTCATACAGCTTTACAATGGAATATGAACAGACATATTGTCAATTTCCTTCCTCTTGTTCCTCCATATAGTCCCTTTTCATTTTTGTATGCATATTTATTTAAATGTATGTGTGTGTTTTTGTGCATATGTGTGAGGGTACCTATGGAGGCAAGAAGATGTTTAGTCTTCTATAGCTGGAGTTACAGGTGGTTATGAGGCATTTGACATTGGTGATGCGAACTAAATTCTAGTCTTCTGTAACAGCAGCAAGCACTCTTAACTGCTGAACAATATCTCCTGTCTCATTATCTTTCCTTAAAGAGAAGGAGTTAGCATGGATTACTTCCTAGCATATAGCTTTTTATTATGTGAATTTTTTGGACAGAGAATGAGAAGGTTCAAAAGTAACAGTCTTGCATAAGCCTCGGATTTTACAAATGAATCCGTTTCATTCCCCTAGTTTTGAAACAAATATTAAATTTCTTTTCTTACACTCAAGGAATGGCATATGAGGGGAATTTTTTGGTAAGAAAATAACAAACACAGATGTTACCACTTAACTACTTTTTTATTATGTTCTGGTGAATAATTTCTGTGTTGCAAGTACTATGAAACATAATTGCTTTTCCTTGAGACAAACTGCATAAGGGTATATTAGTTTAATAACTAAATAATCAAAGTGAACTACAAACCCTGTTAGAGTAAAACATGGTCTCTAGCAGCAAATGTGGTTAAGAGTAAAACAGGGTTTGCAGCAGCAAATATGGTTAATATAATGACTTAGGTCTGGGTGTATTCGCAAAGTCCCTCACCAAATCACTAATTCGCTTATGGAACAAGGAAAGTGTAACTCAGAGAATAATGATTTCATAAACCCTGACCTTGGGAAACTTCTATGAACTCATAGTTAGTAAATCTCTGTATTGCTGAAAACAGACTGGTTGAAATCAGTATATCACTTCTCCTTCTCCTGCTCAACACTATACTTTCTAACAATTTGGTTTAAGCCACATGAAAGAATAATCCAGAAGCATATCAAGATCTTTAAGTAGTCAGAGGGTGGACTACATGAAAGTATTGGGGAAAATTATAAAGGCCACTCCACGTAGTTAAAAGGAAGATTTATTTAGTGG